GGACATTCGCGCGCGCAAGACGAAATCCTTCCAAAACCTTAGTTTTCGTAGCGATTTTAACATAAAAACATAAAAAACCAATGGTTTTTCAAAAAAAAATGTCAAAATTTCATCCCGCGCGCTCTTGCGGATTCGTAGGAAACCCAACACTTTTTAAACATTTCTGTCAAACGGGCTTTTGCGAGCAACTTTTTCGAACTTCTGCAACAACGGTTGCGCACCTGCCAGGGCCATCATCCCTGTCAAATAATACCATGCGGGACACATTCGTTTTTTCTTCGCGCGCGCACGCCGTCGTCGTCGGCCGCGGGGCCCTGAATAGTAGCCACGGTCGTCCGCATGCCACGAAGTGAAGTGTCCGAACGTCATAGGGCGGGAAGCTGGGTGTGGGTGGTGGCGAAGAGTCGTTTGGAAATTTGGTAGAGCTTGAACCGGCCCCCCCACAAAGTGGGGGTATTGCCCGCCTCCTATGAAAACCCTGGCACTGGTGAGAACGGAGTGTCCCCACGTGCTAGTAATTGTTGTTGTTGAACATTATTTATTCTAAAGAATAATTATTGTTGGGCCCCCTGGTGCGCGCCCCCCCTGCGCCGCCTAGGCCGCAGCTACATTTTCATCATTTTCGTGAGGAAGCCTCAGAAAAGAGGGTGTGTACAGGATCCGGTTGTTTTGTTGTAATCCGCTTTCCCTTGCAAAAAACAATAGAAAATGACATTTCTTGTTCTAATATAATCAAATTTCAAGAATCCCTTGCAAAAAATAAGGTAAAGTGGACATTCGCGCGCGCAAGACGAAATCCTTCCAAAACCTTAGTGTTCGCAGCGATTTTAACATAAAAACATCAAAAAACCAATGGTTTTTCAACAAAAAATCGTCAAAATCTCATCCCGCGCGCTCTTGCGGATTCGTAGGAAACCCAACACTTTTTAAACATTTCTGTCAAACGGGCTTTTGCGAGCAACTTTTTCGAACTTCTGCGACAACGGTTGCGCACCTGCCAGGGCCATCATCCCTGTCAAATAATACCATGCGGGACACATTCGTTTTTTCTTCGCGCGCGCACGCCGAAATCTCCAAAAACCATTGGGCTTCTTAAGAATTTTAGCACCGCGCATCATAAAATCACACGAATCGCACCGTAGGTCCTCGAAAAACACCTGCACGACTTTTCAAAATTTCTACCCGCGCGCGCTGTCCGAATCCTAAAAAAACCAATGGTTTTCCAACATTTATGTTACATGAGCTCGCGCGAGCTACTTTCGCACGCTCTTGCAACGGGGTTCGCGCGCCTGCCAGGGGCCACAATCCCTTGCGGTTGCGCCATAGGTTGCGCCCTCGGCCGCCGAGAATAAAACGTCCCCCTATTGGTTGCGCCATAGGTTGCGCCCTCGGCCGCCGAGAATAAAACGTCCCCCTACTGGTTGCGCCATAGGTTGCCCCAGGAGGCCTTCAAGAGACAACCATCGGGACAACCATCGAGACAACCATCGGGACAACCATATCCTCTCTCTCTTGTGTATTCCCACATCCCTCAGGAATTTGCCCTAAAGATGTGATCAACTATCTTGTGAGTACGTATCATGTGTATCATGTGTATCATGTACCATATGCATCATATGCAACAGATGTTCTGTGGAAGGCTTAACAACTTCTGTGGGTTAACAAGGCTTAACAACTTCTGTGGGTGTACGAACGTAGGCTTAACAACTTCTGTGGGTGTGTACTCCACGCCAGTGTAGTAGCCACGGTCGTCCGCAGGCCACGAAGTGAAGTGTCCGAACGTCATAGGGCGGGAAGCTGGGTGTGGGTGGTGGCGAAGAGTCGTGTGGATATTTGGTAGAGCTTGCACTGCCCCCCCACAAAGTGGGGGTATTGGCTGGCGTCGCATGAAAACCCTGGCACTGGTGAGAACACTGAGCGTTCGGGTAAAGTGATTGTTGTTGTTGTTGTTGTTGTTGTTGTTGTTGTTGTTGTTGTTGTTGTTGTTGTTGTTGTTGTTGTTGTTGTTGTTGTTGTTGTTATTGTTTTGTTGTGGCCCACTTCGTGTCGGAACGTTGCTGTCCCAGGGCGCCCTGCGTGAAAAGGAGGAGGGGGGCCAGAGGCGTGAGGGAGGGACGGAGGAACGACGAAGCGCAGGCACGCGCCGCGTGGGCCTCGGAGCGCCGCCCCTGGAGAGCTGGTGTGTCTCCGCTGCGCGTGCGCACTCTTGAGAAGCCGTGTAACAAGCGCGCGGAGCGAGAAGGCGTTGGTACCTCGGGGGGAGGGGGGGGGGCTCTGATTACCTCCGTCACGCGCGGGAATTTCGCCGACCAGAGTGGCGGGAGTGATCGAACGCAGACGCAGAGAAGGGTCGTTCCATGCAGGGCTGGGTTACATAGTCACATGGGACAGCGCTTCTGTGATGGTCTTCGGCATTGGCTGGCGTCACCGCTGGGACAGCCGCCACATCTTTATCTATTGGAAGGCGTTCTTACCTTTCTTCCGCGATCACGTGTGCACAAAAAAGAGGGTTGTTCTCGCCAGCTGCGGCCGATGCAGACGACTGGGACGAGCGTCGACCGATACTTCACAAGCGCCCTCTTGTTTCTTCGTATCCCCTGGGAAGTATGCCGTGTACCCACTGCGCGGAGGGTCAATCCGTAAACCGGTAGAGTCCAACAACGCGTCTTCACCACCGACTGGCACTTATTGCAGGAGTTGTGGATGGCACCATTGTTTGTCGGCACCTGAGTAGGGCTCAGTCTTCGATGGTACTACCAATGCTATTTTCAATATCTTTGATCACGGGTGGAAGCCCGCCGTGGATACCAGCGACGCCGTCCCGTGGCACAACCAGGATTGGAATCTCATGGCTGACTACCTCGCAAACTACACGATGAACGAACGACGCACGTGTGTCCAAAGCTATTCGGCAAACGTCGATGCCAATGCTGGACATCTCAGTATTCACACTGATAGCGGCAGTCGGGCACCAGGATTACCAGGTCGTTGGTTCACCATGGACGGCTCCAGGATTACCAGGTCGTTGGTTGTAGGAGGTACTCGTATTGATACTCCTGTTGCAGTTTTCACAGCGGAGGCGATGGCTCTTGACGAAGCGGTCCAGGTCATGTCTAGTTCAGTAACCAGGAGCGTATCACCATCACAGGAACGACCTGGGCTTTGCAAGGTGAACAAAAGGACATGGATGAGCAGGGACGATGGTGATGATGATGATGAGGGAGAGGAGGAGGAGAAGGAGGAGGAGGATGAGGAAGAGGCGAGGAAACAAGATTCTGGAGAGGGATGGATAGTAAGACAGAACAGCAGGGCTTAGCGAGGAGGAGGAGGAGGAGGAGCAGGGAGAGGAGGCAGGATGGGGGATGGAAATGATGGGCGGGGTGGTGATCGAGGTGGTGATGATGATGGTTGCGGTGATGATGGCGAAGAGGAGGAGGTGCAGACAGACAGTATAAACGGGCCAGGAGGATGATGACGTGGATGAGGATGCTGATGATGCTGCTGATGCTGATGGTGATGATGATGATAGTGATGTTGATGGTGCTGATGATGAAGGTAGTGATGTTAATGTGGGCCATGATGATGCCGATGACGAGGACGAATATGTTGCTGCGGATAATGATAGCCATGGAGATGCAAGTGAGGCTGCTGCTGGTGAAGATGCTTATGATGACACTGACGATTATACGTATGGCAACGAGCAACTACGAACGCACACCTGCTGGTGATTATGTTGATGACGATGCTGGTGACGATCATAACGTTACTTGTGGTGGCGATTATGCTGCTGCTGCTGATGATGATGACGATGATGATGATGATGATGATGATGATGATGATGATGATGATGATGATGATTCCGATGATGCTGCTGATGACGTGTCTGGTGATAGTACGTCTGGTGGTATGTGTGATGGCAAGGGTGGCGTTTGTGATGATTGTGATGATGTCTGTTGCTGCTGATGATGGTAGTACGGTCGATGGGGATGGTGACGGTGGTGACGATGATGGTGTCAAGTCGTGTAACAATGATGGCGACGATCACGATACTGATGATGATTGCCATGGTGATGATGCATCTTAGGATGCTGATGATGATGACGATGCTGATGCTGGGGATCATGACGATGACGATGCTGATGCTGATGATGCTGATGATGATGATGATGCGGATGCTGATGCTGATGCTGATGACGATGATGATGCTGATGATGGTAATGATGCTCATGTTGCTGCTGCTGGCGATGATGACACTGACGACGACGATGGCGAACCCATTGCTGCCGATGCCGATGGCGACGACTGGCGACGACACGTACGATGCTGGTGATGATGATGGTGATACTGATGATGGTGATGACGATGATGCTGATGATGATGATGAGGAGGATGACGATGTTGACAATTGTGATGATGATGGCGATGATGCTGCTGATGATGACGATGACGATGGCGATGACGCTGCCGATGACGATGACGGTGACGATGGCGAGGACGAGGACGACGACGATGACGATGACGATGGCGATGATGCTTATGATGATGATGATGATGATGATGATGATGATGATGATGATCATGATCATGATGATGATGATGATGATGATGATGATGATGATGATGATGATGATGATGATGATGATGATGATGATGATGATGATGATGATGATAGTGCTGATGTGACGTCGACGATGCCGATGACGATGACGACGACGATGCTTTTGTTGATGATGGTGGTGGAGATTGTGTTGGTGATGTTGATGGTGATAGTGATGGTGGTGGTGGTGGTGCTGCTGCTGATGCTGAGGAGGAGGAGGAGGGGGATGGAGGAGGCAGGAGGGAGAGGGAGGCAAGAGGAGGGGGAGGAGGAAGAGGAGAAGGAGGAGGAGGCAGGCAGTTTGTATGCGCGCGCGTGTGTGCGTGTGTGTGTGTGTGTGTGTGTGTGTGTGTGTGTGTGTGTGTGTGTGTGTGCGGGGTGGATGCCCCCCAGCGGCGCCCAGACAGCCTGGGCGCCCTGGTCCTGCAGGCCGTGGCTGGCGACCCGCCCATGGGCACCGACCGCGAGGACGGGGGGGGCCCCGGCCGTGCGCGGGAGGGAGGAGGCCAATGGGAGTGAGGATGGATGGGTGAATGGTGATAATGATTATGGTGATGATGATGATGAGTAAGGATGATGATGATGATGATGATGATGATGATGATGATGATGATGATGATGATGATGATGATGATGATGATGATGAGTGATGATGGTGATTCTGATGATGATGATGATGATGATGATGATGATGAGTGGAGAATGGTGATGGTGATGATGATGAGGTTGATGTCGATGGTAATGGTGATGCTGCTGATAATGATGCTGACGGTGATGATAATGTTGACGCTGCTGATGCTGATGACGATGACGATGATGCTGATGCTGGTGGTGATGATGCTGATGGTGGTGGTGCTGATGATGGTGGTGGTGGTGATGATGATGATTGTGGTGATGATGATGGTGGTGATGGTGGTGATGAAGATGATGGTGATGATGATGATGGTGCTGGTGGTGGTGGTGCTGCTGATGGTGATGATGCTGCTGATGCGGCTGATGTTGCTGCTCATGATGGTGAGTCTGATGACGATGATGAGGAGGATGATGATGACGACGATGACGATGCTGCTGCTGATGATGATGCTGATTGTGATGATGCTGATAATGATGATTATGGTGATAAAGATGATGTTGATGTTGATGTTGATGTTGATGGTGATGGTGGTGGTGGTGATGATCTGATGATGATGATGCTGATGACGACGAGGATGATGATGATGACGACGATGACGATGCTGCTGCTGGTGATGATGCTGATTGTGATGATGCTGATAATGATGATTATGGTGGTAAAGGTGATGTTGATGTTGATGGTGATGGTGATGGTGATGGTGGTGGTGGTGATGTGGTGATGATGATGATGATGATGATGATGATGATGATGATGGTGGTGGTTGTGCTGCTGCTGATGATGTTGCTGATGGTGACGATGACGACGATGAAGATGACGATGACGATGACGATGACGACGATGATGATGATGATGATTATGATGATGGTGATGATGCTGCTGCTGATGATGGTGACGATGGCGATGATGATGATGGTGATTGTGATGATGCTATCGATGGCGATGATGCTGATGATGATGGTGATGATGCTGTTGCTGATGAAGATGCTATTGATGATAACGATGCTGATGGTGTTGATGTCGTTGATGATGCTGATGCTGCTGCTGATGCTGCTGCTGCTGCTGATGATGATGATGATGATGATGTTGATGATGATGATGATGATGATGATGATGATGATGATGATGATGATGATGATGATGATGATGATTATGTTGATGTTGACGATGAGGAGGATGAGGAGGAGAGAGGAGGAGAGGAGGAGGGGGAGGGAGACGGATGGAGGAGGAGGAGAGGAGGGGGAGGAGGAGAGGAGGGGGGAGGAGGAGGAGGAGGGGGGAGGAGCAGGAGGAGGAGGAGAAGGACGAGGAGCAGGACACGGGGAAAGAGGTGATGCATGTAAGATGCGGAGGAGCTGCCGCCACTTTGCCCGGGATACTCAGGGAGTCGGGGGGCCAGGGGGGGGGGCATCGGGAGGAGATCGGGGGGGACCAAGGGTGGGTAGGGGAGGGGGGTATCGGGGGGGAGATCGGGGGGGACAGGGGGGTGGGCAGGGGTGAGGGAGGGGTGAGGGGCCGATGGCACAGCACGAACGAACGATGAAGGGGCTCAGAGTCCTGCAGCACAGCCGTGCAATGAGAGAAACACGCGAGGGTGTGAGCATCAGTAAGGCGTGGAGGGACGCAGCCAACCGCCGCAGCAAGGGCGCGGCACTTGGTCAAGGCGGCCCCTGTGTTCTTGCCTATTCCACGGGCTGCCACGAGGGCGCGACGGTATTCGCGGTTTGCGGTTCGCGATTCCTCATCCTCGTCCTCCTCGTCCTCCTTTCTCCCCCGGGGGGGGGGACAGCGCGAGGGCGCGAAGTTATTCGCTTGTCGCGCTTCCCGAAGCGCGAAGCGCGGACGTAGCTGTCCTTATTCGGCCTCTCGTTTCTCAAGGGTTTCCGGCCTGGCGCCGCTGCAACCGTTCAAGCGAGGACGCCTGAGATTCGTGAGTTCTCGCCCTGAAATCCTTGATCCTGGGTGACCTTAGTATCGGGCGTGCGGTCTCTTGCCGCGGAGTGCGGGAGCGGTCGATGCGTCGCGGGCATCCCCTCCCCATGCCTTCTTCTTCAGCCGGTGCGCCAGTCGTGCCGCTGCGGGCGTCCCGTCGGTCGTCTGTCGTGTCGCTTGCCGTTGTCGCCGTCGCCGTCGCCGTCTCGGCCGCCGCCGTCGCCGTCGCCGCCCGACGCTGCTCGCCGTGTTCTCCTCGTGGGCGCAAGCGCGGCCAACCTCGAATCCCGGAGTCCCAGAGACCAGGCGCTGCCGGGTCCTCGGATCTCTCGCGGTTGGCTGGGGCCGAGGGCCCCCGGAGGGGGCAGCCGGGCGCGGTGCGGCACCCGTCGGCCCCCCGCGAGGACTGGGACGACGAAGGCCCCCGCGCGCGGGGGGCCCGCGTCGCCCTGCCCCCGCCGCCGCCGCGGCCGCCGGTCTTGGAATAAGGCAGTGGCACAAGCAGACACCTTCGGAGCTGCGCGCGGGTTTTCTTGGATCTCACCACCCACCAAACCACCCCAACCCAACCCGAAGGCCCAAATTTATCCTCGATTTCCAGTGGGGGGGGGGGTCGGGGAACGTTGAAAAAACACATGGTATCCGTACCCCCCCCCCAACCCGAAATTCGGGTCTTCGGGTTGGGTTGGGGTGGTCTGGTAGGTAGTCAGACAGTGGCACAAGCAGACACCTTCGGAGCTGCGCGCGGGTTTTCTTGGATCGGCGCCTGGACCCCCTGGCGGCGCCCGTGTCCTTTCGCGCTCCGCGCGCCAGGGAGGGGGCTCCAGTGCCGGGGAGAGAACTCCGCGCGGGGCGTCCGAAAGTGGATGCGCCTGCCGTTGTTTGTTCCTCTAGCGCTGCCGCCGCCGCCGTGGCCGCCAGGTGTCCTTCCTCGTGCACTCCCGCTTTGATTTCGACGGCCGTGCCTGGCCATCTGGCCACCCCGACCGTGGCATCCGGGTGTCGCGGGGAGGGGGGTGCACAGCAAGAAACGGCTGGCGCTCTTGCACTCCCTGCAGGACCTGGGCCCTGACGGACTCGGTTCGAGAGACCCCGCACGGAGATGGGGATCGTCGGACGGGGCTAGGGTGAGGATAAATCCGTTCCAGAGCGTTCTAGAACGCTCTCAGAGCGTTCCAGAGCGCTCTGAGAAAGCCGCGGCGAACGAGACATCCTCCAGAGCCGCCGGCTCTCAGAGATTCTCGATTTATGCTCCTCCGATCCTATCCCCGTCCTGGCTTTGTCGTAGGTCGAAAGTTCGGGTAGTGTCTTTTCTTCACGGCGCTGGTGTTTCCCATCGACTTTCCCGCAGAGTTGTGCCCTCGTGCTCTTTTCGCCGCTGCGCCGCGCGTTGCCTCCCCCCTCGTCCTGCCGCTGCTCCTGCCGTGGCCTGCTGCCGCTGCTTGCTGCCTCTGCTGCTGTCCCTGCTGCTACCTCTGCTGTTGCTGCTGCTGCTGCTAGCAAGGCCAACGGCGTGGACATGATGGGGCCGCGAGATCGTCTTCGACTACCTGACTGCGACCTTGAGCAATGCGCAGACCTCCTCAACGCCATCGATGGCCGCGCCGCCTGGCCGCCCCAGGTCCACATGAACATCGCGGCCATGGCTCCCACGAGAATAGAGGGCGACCGCGCGCTGGGGGTGCTTCCCACCATCGCGCGGGTCTGGAGCCGACTGCGAGGCGGCGTCTGCGACGTGCGAAGCGACGGCTTGCGCGACTTCTGGTGCGCGGCCATGCGCGGCTCCTCCGCGTTGGCTGCCGCCCTTCGCCGAGCTTTTTTGGGCGAGTCCGCCACCCTCGTGGACATCGCCGTCGCCGCGCTGCTCATGGACCTGGAGAAGTTCTACGACCACGTACAGGTGGGCAAACTCATCGAGGTCGGTCTTGAGGAGAACTTCCCTGCGAGTGTCCTCAGCATGGAGGTCCAGCTCTTCATGGCGCCTCGGGTACTTCGCTCTCGAGGCCGGGTCTCCGAGCCCATCGAGACCTGACAGGCCATGGCGGCGGGCTCCCCGCGGGGCACCATGCTGGCCAGGCTCTTCTTGCTCCCCATCCTCACACACGCGCAACGACGCGCTGAAGGTGCCACGTTGTGGACCTTTGTCGACGACGCGGTTGCGTGAGCGGAGGGCACTGCACGTCGGGTCTCCAAGGCCATCACTGCCGCCGGCCAGGAGCTCCAGCAAGCCTTCCATCTCGCAGGGCTCCCTGTCTAGGGCAAGACAGTTCTCCTCGCGAATGACCGCGAGCTCAGGCGCTCCTTGGTCCAAGAACAGCGACGACATGGGCTCCCAGTCTAGAGCACTACGGCGGCCGCCGGCCTCGGGATCGACGCCGCTGCAGGTGCCGGGCGAGCTCGACCCTAGGCGCGCTCCAGAGCCTCAGCCGCTACGACACGCACGCGACGAACCGCGCGGATGGCGCGCGCAGCTCGACGGGCCAGGATATCACGAGGTCTCCAGGCAACTTGGGCCTTACCTCAAGGGGTCTACGGGCAACAAGTTCGTGGACTTGCCAAGCATGCGATTCAACGTTGGCGACGAGATGCAGTTCTGGATTGGCCACCTCACCTTCATGTGCGCATGCGACGGACGTGGGCAGTGGCTCAGCGCAAGTTTGTGAGAGCTGGCCCTCGTATTTGGTCGTATGTCACTGGGCCCAATGCATCGTCTATTGCCACCTTAGAGGGACCTGGATGGGATCCCAAAGCTTCTGGCGTCTGGCAACGCGTTCTCGGCGAATATCTCGAACAATGCAGGCTGCCAGGCGGTGACGACCCAGAGCCCCGCGACTTCGACCCGACGGGCGCCGTCGCGGACTTCGGTGATGATCTGCCGGGTCGACTCTGGAAGGACGCCTCTCGCCATGAGCACGGCGAGGCGCTCGAACGAGGAGCTGACTTACATCTGGTCAGGGTGGAGCAGCCCAGGTTCTCGCGAACAAATATCGCCCCCAGCCCTCAGCCTTCGTGTGGTCTCAGGGGGTCAGTGGCCCCGTGAGCGCCTCTGTAGGTCAGGTTGCCAGGCCTCAAGGCTCTGCGAGAGGTGCCCATTGGGGCAACAAGAGGACCTCGCCCACCGCATCTGGCTGTGCCCTGCTAACCACGGGCCTGAGGTGGCCTAGACTGTTGAGCACTTAGTTCCCCGTGTCCTGGCTGTTCTCGCGCAGGGCCCTAGTCTGTGGCTCCGCGGCCTCCCCCCGCTCTCCTGCACTTTGCCTTCCTTCGAGCCTTGTTGGGGGGGGGGGGGCGGCGGGGGGATTGGGGCCACCTCGGAGGACCTGAGTGATCCCCCGTCTTGGGAGGCTGCCCGCGACCTCCAAGTTGGTCGACTTTCTCTTTTCGGGGACGGCTCTGGAGAAGCCTTCTCGGAAGATCCCAGAGGGGGCGTAGTTGCGGGTGGGCCGTCGTGGTTATTATCTCAGACGGCTTGGGCTCCTGGAAGGTCTCTGCTGGGTTGTTCGGGCCGCTCGACGGGAATCGACAGACCGTGCCGAGGGCCGAGCTCGCGGCGCTGGCGATCGCACTCGAGCGAACGGACGGCCCTCTCACTTTTGTCACTGATCACTGGCCGACTGTTGAAGGCTGGCGCGCTGCTTGGGCCACCCGTGCCCCCAGAGCAGGCGCCCTATAGAACAATCGCGATTTGCGGGCGCGGATCTGCAGGGCAATGCGAGCAAACGCGGGGCGCGATGTGGCCATCGAGTGGGCCCCGTCTCACCTCCACGAGACGCCCGAGCTCATCGCGGGTCCGTTTTTCCCCCGGGGAAGTTGGCGCGCCGACGAGTGTGCTGCCTGGGGAGCGGCCAAGTGGTGGCAGCGCCTCATCCAACCCGCCCCGCTCACAGGTGAGTGGGGCACGGATGCAGAGGAGGATGAGGAGGAGGAGGAGGAGGAGGAGGAGGAGGAGGAGGAGGAGGAGGAGGAGGAGGAGGAGGAGGAGGTAGGAGGAGGAGGAGGAGGAAGGAGAGGAGGAGTGGAGAGGAGAGGAGGAGGAGGAGGAAGGAGGGGAGGAGAGGAGGAGGAGGAGGAGGAGGAGGAGGAGGAGGAGGAGGAGGAGAGCAGGAGGGGGAGGAAGAGGAGAAGGAGGAGGAGGAGGAGGGCCATCCTCAGGACCTCAGGGCATGACTCCTCCGCGAGAAGAGCGGCCTCCCACTCCTCGTCCCCTCTCCGTCTCGGCCAGGGCCTCCGCCCCCTCGTTCTTCCCCCGTCGATTCGAGCGATGCGCGGACGAGTGGCAGTGCTCAGCCTGTCAGCGCTGGACTGCCCAGGCCCGCCGGGCTCTCCCCTTGGCGCCCTTTCCAGCAAGACCGGCCCCTTTCAGCCACAACGGTTGCGCTCTCCCTGTGAGCGCCGTGGCCACAGGAGCCACGCTGCGTGGGCAGGCCGCCCATCCTTCTCACAACCTCCTCTCCTTCCCCAGCCAGCGGGTGTATGTCTGCAGGAGTTGTGGATTCCGTGCCACGTTTGGCTTTGTTAAATTGTTGGAGCCTTGCCCTCCCGAGCCGACGCCCAGGGTCGCGAGGTCCTGGCGCGCGTGCTCGAGGGCTTGCATCCTTCGCACAAGGGTCCCGCGAAATCCATGCGCATGGCCTTGCATGAGGATGCGGCTCAGGAGGCCTTGCACCGGGCGTTGGCCGAGGGGGGAGGCAGCGCCAGTTAGCAGCTAGTGAGGATTCCACTCAGCGAGACGTCGTCGTCGCTGTCGTCGGCCAAGGCCCGTCGTCGTCGGCGTCGGCGTCGGCGTCGGCGTCGGCGTCGTCGTCGTCGTCGGCGTCGGCGTCGGCGTCGTCGTCGTCCTCGCTTGCGCTCCAGGGTTCGGAAGGGACGGCAGCCTGGAGCGTGGTCCGAGAGCGCCTGGCCGTCTCCCCCTCGGCTCCCGCCCGTGGGCCGGGCACGGCCAGGCGCCCTTCGCGCCGCCCTCCCCCCCACCCCGTCGGGCTCCTCCGACCAGCTGCCCCCCTTCTCCTTGCTTTTTCTAGAGCGCCTCCTGTCCTTCTGCATCGGACTCCATCTGACTGCTCCTCCTCCTCCTCCTCCTCCTCCTCCTCCTCCTCCTCTTTGCCTTCTTCCCGGACTCCCCCCTTCCCCACGTCTCCCATCTGCCACGCCCATTCCCTTCGTTCTCTCCCAACGTCGCCCCCATCATCCGCGTGCTTTTTGTCCCACGACGCCGCGCCAGTAACTCCCCGGATCCTCTCGACGGCTTTTGCGTGACATTCACCCGCGTGGTCATGGGTGTCCTTGCACGGGATCCACTGATGCACTCTTCCATCATCCCCCTTCAATATTTTGCCTCCGCAGCATCGCCCTCCCTCCTCCCTCCTTCCTCCTTCCTCCTTCCCCCTCGTCCTCTTGCATCGTCATCTTTTCAGGGAGGAGGAGGAGGAGGAGGAGGAGGAGGAGGAGGAGGAGGAGGAGGAGGAGGAGGAGGAGGAGGAGGAGAATGATGAGGAACATGGATCGGGGGGGCAATAGTGTCGCGGCTTCGCTTCGCGTTCTCCTCACTGTCCAGTTGTCCTTGCTTTCCTTCCATCTCCTCCACCCCCTTCTCTGGGAACCTGTTCCTTCTCAACCTGTTCCTTCTCAAGTCTTCATCCTGCTGAAGCTCATCCCTCAGTCCTCTCCCTCTTTCTCCATCTCCTCCTGCTGCTAGTCCTTCCTCTCCTCCTCCCCGTCTCCTCTGCCTCCGTCCCCGCCGTCATCCTCTGTGCTTTCTGTTCCTTCGGCGCCGAGGCTGGGAAGCTGGGAGCGACGACGGCGGCGCCGCCACAATCGCGGAGCAGTTCGCGGAGCAGTTCGCGGAGCAGTTCGCGGACCCAGGGTCCCCTTCGTCCTCCTCCAACCATCCTCTTCTCTCTTGAGTCCTTTCTCCTCTTTCCCGGTCGTCCTGTCGGGGGCCGTCCCGTATGTCGCCATGACGGTGCGGAGCCGCGCTGAGGCGTTTGAAGAGAGTTGGGGACGTGCTCAACACCGCATCGCGGTACCTAAATACAGCGATCGGTGGCGGCGACGGCGACAACGATGCTTTTCTGGCCGCCGTCGCAGCACGCAGGCGCCCCTCCCAGGCGGGAAGGGTTGCGCTCGTCACATGCCTGCCCGCTGGTCGGGCAGGCGCACTGTGCCGCTCACGGCGGCCCTTGGTCCACCCCACTTGCGCACCGCATGGGTCGGGGAGCGCGCTGGCGGGCCTCCACGATCTCAGGCACCTTCTCTCCTCGAGCGTGTTTCTTACTTGCTTGGGGCATAACGGGCGTCATAGCCCCCGCCCACCCCCTGGGACGTCACGTCCCCCCCCCCCCCCGAGCGCTCTGGGCACTGCCGCCGTGCGCATCGGGATCCGAATAGGCATCCGCATAGGAATCCGTATAGGGGTCTGGTCCGCAGTCGTCGTCGTCGTCGTCTTCGTCGTCGTCGTCGTCGTCGTCGTCGCCGTCGTCGTCGTCGTCGCTGCTCGTCGCTCGTCGCTCGTCCCTCATCGTCGTCGTGCGCGTGGGCGCGGCTGGAACCTTTTTTTTAATTCCAGATCGATGACAGCTGTTATCTGGGAAGGGATGGAGGGGACCGATGACGTCACGTTTCGCGCTGGCGGCGTCTGGGAATGCTTAGGATTGCCCGAGGACGGGTAGCAGCAGCATGTAGGTGGCGATCTGCGCCACAGCGCCTGTGTACACCACGGTGCCTGCGTGCACAACAGCGCCTGTGTACACCACACCGCCTGTGTACACCACAGCAGCCGCGTGCAACACAGCGCCATTGTGTGCCACAGTGCCGGCGGGCACCACAGCGTTTGTGTACACCACATCGCCTGCGTACACCACATCGGCCGTGTGCAGCACAGCACCAGTGTACAACACAATGCTTGCGTGCACTGCAGCGCCTGCGTGTGCCACGGCGCCTGTGCGCACGACAGCAGCCGTGTGCAACAGCATATAGAACCCGGGGGGTAGGCCTACCCTAGGCCTACCCATAGGCCTACCCCCTAGGCCTACCCTAGGCCTACCCCCTAGGCCTACCCTAGGCCTACCCCCTAGGCCTACCCTAGGCCTACCCCTAGGCCTACCCCCTAGGCCTACCCTAGGCTTACCCCTAGGCCTACCCCCTAGGCCTACCCTAGGCCTACCCCTAGGCCTACCCCCTACGCCTACCCTAGGCCTACCCCTAGGCCTACCCCCTAGGCCTACCCTGGGCCTACACCTAGGCCTACCCTCTAGGCCTACCCTAGGCCTACCCCCTAGGCCTACCCCCTAGGCCTACCCTAGGCCTACCCCCTAGGCCTACCCCCTAGGCCTACCCGAGGCCTACCCGCCCGTTAGGGTTCACGCGTGTCAAGTGCACACGCACCATACTTGAATGTCCGCCCGCCCGACCCGACCCGCCCGTTAGGGTCCGCCCGACCCGACCCGACCCGCCCGTTAGGGTCCGCCCGACCCGACCCGCCCGTTAGGGTCCGCCCGCCCGACCCGACCCGACCCGCCCGTGAGGGTTCACGCGTGTCAAGTGTACACGCACCATACTTTAATGTCCCGCCCGCCCGACCCGACCTGCCCGTTAGTGTCCGCCCGACCCGACCCGACCTGCCCGTTAGGGTCCGCCCGCCCGACCCGACCCGACCCGCCCGTTCGGGTTCACGCGTGCCAAGTGTACACGCACCATACTTCAACCCGACCCGACCCGCCCCCGTTAGGGTCCGCCCGCCCGACCCCCGACCCGCCCGTTAGGGTTCACGCCAAGTCACACGCACCATACTTTAATGTGACCCCCGTTCCGCCCGACCCGACCCGACCCGCCCGTTAGGGTCCGCCCCCCGACCCGACCCGACCCGCCCGTTAGGGTTCACGCGTGCCAAGTGTACACGCACCATACTTTAATGTCCCGTCCGCCCGACCCGACCCGCCCGTTAGGGTCCGCCCGACCCGACCCGCACGTTAGGGTCCGCCCGCCCGACCCGACCCGACCCGCCCGTGAGGGTTCACGCGTGTCAAGTGTACACGCACCATACTTCAATGTCCCGCCCGACCCGACCCGACCGCCCGTTAGGGTCCGCCCGACCCGACCCGGCCCGCCCGTTAGGGTCCGCCCACCCGACCCGACCCGACCCGCCCGTAGGGTTCACGCGTGTCAAGTGTACACGCACCATATTTTAATGTCCCGCCCGCCCGACCCGACCCGCCCGTTAGGGTCCGCCCGACCCGACCCGACCCGCCCGTTACGGTCGGGTCGGGTCGGGTCTATACTAATACTAGTAATAACAATAGTAATTCTACTAATCATGATAACAATACGTAATAACACTACTACTACTACTACTACTACTACTACTACTACTACTACTACTACTACTACTACTACTACTACTACTACTACTACTACTACTACTACTACTACTAACTACGACTACTACTACTACTACTACTACTACTACTACTACTACTACTACTACTACTACTACTACTACTACGACTACTACTACTACTACTACTACTACTACTACTACTATTACTACTACTACTACTACTACTACTACTACTACTACTACTACTACTACTACTACTACTACTACTACTACTACCACCACCACTACTACTATTGCTATTAGTAATAATGACACGAATAATAATGATGATACTACTAATTATACTAATCATGCTCATACTAGTGACAACAATATTAATACGAAGAGGAATAAAATTAAACACAAGAGGAGGAAGAGGAGGAGGAGGAGGAGGAGGAGGAGGAGGAGGAGGAATAGGAAGAGGAGGCGGAGGAGGACAAGGAGGAGGAGGCGGAGGAGGAGGAGGAGGACGAGGAGGAGGACGAGGAGGATGAGTTGGTGGTGTGTTGGTGGTTCCTGGCCATGCCCACTCCAAGCTCCGGCGGCGAGCCCGGGGGGCATTGAGAGGGGGCGGGAGTTCCCAGAAGGCTTGGAACGCCTGGCGGCCTTCTGAGAAGTTCTCTAAGCCCAGAAAACATACCAGAAGTCGCGAGGGCTTTTGAGAAGGCCCGCCGCCTTCTGAGAAGGCCTTCTTCTTCTCATTTCCCCCGGGCGCGCCACCGAATTTGGTTTCTGGGTCATAACTCGGGTCTTTGGCGGCCGTTCGGGACGATCCCGGCACCCCCGGAACGCTCTCGGCGAGGCGCAGCCGCTGGAACGCATCCCAAGGGCGGCAGGCCGCCAAGAAACTGCGAAAACGCTCGAAAACTTACAACCTCGAAGTTCGAACCTCGAAGTTCCCCCCCTTCGCTCGCCGCCAAATGCCCGCTCCAACCTGGTCCGTCTTGCTGGCCCCAAAAGCCACGGCGCCACCTCGTCGGCCAGGGCGAGAAGTGGTGTGAATGTGTGTTTGTTTGTTTGTTTGTTTGTTTGTTTGTTTGTTTGTTTGTTTGTTTTTGTGTGTGTGTGTGTGCCTGTCCACCTTTGGCTCGTTCGCCGCCGCGTGGTGCAGGCGCCCGTCGGCACCCCCTTCGATGCTCCCAGTGGTCGGCGCGTGGGCCTACACGCCAGTCGTTGAAGGTGGGTATGTCTGGATTCCCAGATCCCAGATCTACTTAATCGAAGACGGAAAAACGACATGCATTTTCGACGCTCCGCGCGGATTTCTCGGATCGGCGCTGGGACCCCCTGGCGGCGCCTCCGGAAACGCCCCTGGCGCGCTCCGCGCGCCAGGGAGGGGGGTCCAGCGCAGATCCAAGAAATCCCGTTCATGCCGTTTTTTGTTCCTCTAGTATCCCCGATCTACTTTAGGCGCCTTCCTACTTCGGTAATCGATCTGCTTTTGCTGTGTTCTGTTCTTCTCTGGGAGGGCCTGGGCCCACTCTGCTTTATCCGCATTCTTGCTTCATGTTTTTCCCAACCGTCTTTTTCCCCAACCATCCTGTGGTGTTGGGTCCTCGTTTTGAAGAGGCAGCGCCTCGCGTCTCCTCTCCTCCTTGATCCTCCCCCTCCTCCCTCCTCCCATCCCTGCCTCTGCCATCCGCACCAGCCAATTATTTCGGCACACCCCTCACACGTCCCGTCCCATAGGGAGCTCTACCGAAGGCCCCAGTGGCGGTGTCCGCATGCGGTTCCCCCACCCAGTACAATATTTCGTGGCCCCGGAGGGAGCTCCACCGAAAGCCACAGTGGCGGTGTCCGCATGCGCTTCCCCCACCCAGTACAGCGCTTCGTGGCCCCAGGGGGAGCTCCACCGAAGGCTCCAGTGGCGGTGTCCGCATGCGGTTCCCCACCCAGTAGAACATTTCGTGGCCCCATAGGGAGCTCCACTGAAGGTCCCAGTGGCGGTGTCGCATGCGGATCCCCCACCCAGCACAGCGAGCTGTACCGAAGGCCCCAGTGGCGGTGTCCGCATGCGGTTCCCCCACCCAGTCAAACATTTCGTGGCCCAATCGGGAGCTATGCGGTTCTCCCGCCTAGCACAACATGTCGTGGCCCCATAGGGAGCTCTACCGAAGACCGCAGTGGCGGTGTCCGCGTGCGGTTACCCCACCTAGTACAGCGTTTCGTGGGCCCATACATCGCAGGTTGTTCTACCGAAGGCCCCAGTGGCGGTGTCCGCGTGCGGTTACCCCACCCAGAACAGCGTTTCGTGGTGCCATTGGAAGCTCCACCGAAGGCTCCTGTGGCGCTGTCCGCATGCTGTTCCCCCACCCAGTACAACATTTCGTGGCCCCAGAGGGAGCTCCACCGAAGGTCTCAGTAGCAGTGTCCGCATGCGGTTCCCCCACCCAGCACAGCGCTTCGTGGCCCCATAGGGTGCTCCACCGAAGGCTCCAGTGGCGGTGTCCGGATGCGGTTCTCCCGAGCGGTACAGCGTTTCGTAGCTCCATAAGGAGCTCAACCGAAGGCCCCAGTGGCGGTGTTCGCATGCGGTTCTCCCGCCCAGTAAAGCGTTTCGTGTCCCCATAGGGAGCTCTACCGAAAGCCCCAGTGGTGGTGTCCGCATGCGGTTCCCCCACCAAGTACAGCATTTCGTGGTCCCATATGGAGCTCCACCGAAGGCTCCATTCGGGGTGTCCGCATGCGGTTCCCCCACCAAGTACAGCGCTTCGTGGCCCCATATGGAGCTTCACCGAAGGCTCCAGTGGCGTTGTCCTCGTGTCCGCATGCGGTTCCCCCACCTGGTGCAGCGTTTCGTGGCCCGAGAGGGAGTTCCACCGAAGCCCCAGTGGCGGTTTCCCCGTGCGGATCCCCCACCCAGTACAGCGTTTCGTGGGCCCCTGGGGAGCTCCACCAAAGGCCCCAGCGGCGGTGTCCGCACGCGGTTCCCCCACCCAGTCGAACATTTCGTGGCCCCATAGGGAGCTCCACTGAAGGTCCCAGTGGCGGTGTCGTATGCGGATCCCCACCCAGCACAGCGTTTCGTGGCCCCATATGGAGCTCCACCGAAGGCTCCAGTGGCGGTGTCCGCATGCGGTCCCCCACCAAGAGCCGCGTTTCGTAGCCTCATAGGGGGCTCCACCGAAGGCCCCAGTGGCGGTGTTCGCATGCAGTCTCCCACCCAGTACAGCGTTTCGTGTCCCCAGAGGGAGCTCCGCCGAAGGCCCAAGTGGTGGTGTCCGCATGCGGTTCCCCCACCCAGCACAGCGTTTCGTGGCGCCATTGGGAGCTCCACCGAAGGCCCCAGTGGCGGTGTTCGCATGCGTCCCCCCCGCCCAGTATAGCGTTCGTGACCCCATAGGGAGCTCCACCGAATACGATACTCATTGATGCGGTACTCAAAGGTGCATATAGTTGGGTCCTTCGCCAGGTTCATTTGGAAAAGGGCTACGTTGGTGTCACACGGGGCTCGATATCCCTCGCGTCCTTCCATAGACCTCCCTGGTGGCGCTACTCGTGTAGCGCAACTGATTGCCAAACGGGGCTTCGTTCCTCAGCCCTTAGCCGTGGTTCCTTGTTGCAGAACTTTTTCTGGGTAGTCGACGCCCTCCCGCCTTTCTCGTCGGGTCGGGAACGCGATCTGTGTTTCTGGGGCGACGGAGGAGGGGGTAATGCTCGTAGGGTAAAACACGCCTAAGCAGTCCAATCGACGTTAAGAATAAACCTGGGATCAGAGCTTCTCGCGAATGGGGGTCCTAAGAGTTGCTATTGACGATTCAAGCGCGCCGGCCGAGCGCTTTGGAATCTGGCTCTGCAAAGAGCGCTACCTCCCAGCGGCGAGGGCGCCCTCAAGGGGCAGACCGCGGAGCTGAGGGCCAAGCTCGAGGGCTGCGGACCCGAGGGCGTGGTCACCAAGAGGATGGAGGACTACATCGAGATCCAGAATATAGGCAGCACGACGGGCAAGCGTGCGGGCGCGACAGGTTGGTCGAGGTCATGGTTGGTGACTCTGTGTACGAACGTACCCTTCTCGTCTTCGAGTTGGAAGAGCAAGCACCAGACAATTTTCTCCGTCGAGAACTCACCCTCCTCCGCCAGCTTGCCCAAGTTGATCGATTCCTCCCCGATAGTCTGCCCGCTCATCGCGTCGAAGGTCCAGGCTGACAGCCATGGCCGGGCGCCCGGCAACGGTTCCACCAGCACCCCGTCGTCGACCAGGATCTCGCAGGCGTACGGCAATACGTCGTGGATCTCCGCATGAGGGGGGCAGTGGGCCTGGTACGCGTCTTGCCTTCCACGACCCCACACCGCCCACTACCCTGGCGAGCCCGCCCAACCGAAGTCCATGGTGAGGTAGATCACCATCACGCTCTCAGTGTCCCAGTCCAGCTGGATAGTTTTCTTTTCTTCTGTGGATCGGTCCATCCCTAAGACCACTGAGCCCCAAGCTTACTTGCACATATGGTTTGCCCTGGCAGTTGCCAGCTCATACGGCGGATGTGTACCAGGGTGAGCTATGAGGGGGCGGGAAGCTGCTCTGGCAGTGCTGTTTGCCTGTGTCAGCTCCCTTCTCCTCCTTCTCCTAGGTGGTGGTCGGAACGGGTGGGTCCTCCCCCATCCTCCACCCGCCGCCGCGCCGCGCCCCGCAGTGCCGAGGCAGGCGCCCATTGTGCGACTACCACCTCTGCTACTGCGGCCAGTAGGGCAAGGATGGGAGGTGAGGAGTGTGGGGTGGTGGGATGTGGGCTTGACGTGTTGCTTCATACGTGTTTTTTACTTGCCATGTTTTGGACCTCTGCAAGGTCCTGGGCATCGTTCCTGCTGAGTCTGCTTAGCTAATTCGGCTTCGACTCATCTGCCCAATTTCTGGGGGTATGGGATGAAATTATGCTTGCTGAGCCGCCGTGATTGCCTGCTCACCGAGAACCTTTCGAGGGCTGGCTGACCTGACCTTACCCGACCTGCTGCTCCTCGTCCTCCTCCTCCTCCTCCTCCTCCTCCTCGCTCCTCCTCCTCCTCCTCCTCCTCCTCTTCCTCCTCCTTTTCCTCCTCCTTCTCCTCCTCCCCCTCCTCCTCCTCCTCCTCTCCTCCTCCCTCCCTCCCCCCTCCCTCCCTCCCTCCCTCCCTCCCTCCCTCCCTCCCTCCTCCCTCCCTCCCTCCCTCCCTCCTCCCTCCTCCTCCTCCCTCCTCCCTCCTCCCTCCTCCCCTCCTCCCTCCTCCTCTTCCTCCTCCCCTCCTCCCCCTCCTCCTCCTGCTCCTCCTCTCCTCCTCCTCTTCGTCCTCCTCTTCGTCCTCCTCTTCGTCCTCCTCCTCCTCTTCTCCTCCTCCTCCTCCTCCTGATCCTCCTCGGATTCATCCTCTATTCCTCCTCGTCTGTGCCGTCTGGGGCCCGCGCACGCGTCGGGGGCCCGGGCGACGCGAAGCCGCCCGCCCGCTCCGTTCTCGCGGGGCGGGGCGCCAGCTCTGCCCACCCCCCCACACCCCTTCTCCTTCAAACGGGTCCTCTCCTCCGCCTCCTCCTCCTCCTCCTCCTCCTCCTGTTCCTCCTCCTCCTCCTCCTCCTCCTCCTCCTCATCCTCCGTTCCTTTTCCTCCTCCTCCCCTCCTCCTGTTCCTCCTCCTCCTCCTCGTCCTCTTTCTCCTCCTCCTCCTTCTCCTCCTCCTCCTCCTCGGATTCATCCTCCACCATCCTTCCACCCACCGGGGACGCCGCCGCGAGGACTCGTGGGCCTCCTTCGCGGAGTCCGTGCGCAGCGTGTTCGGGCAGAGCGGGGGCCCCGGGACGCGCGGGCGCGCGGCCGTTCCGGCCGTCTTCGGCCCGCTCTCCTCCTTCTCCTCCTCCTCCTCCTCCTCCTCCTCCTCCTCCTCCTCCTCCTCCTCCCTCCTCCTCCTCCTCCTCCTCCTCCTCCTCCTCCTCCTCCTCCTCCTCCTCCTCCTCCTCCGCCCCCTCCCTCCCTCCCTCCCTCCCTCCCTCCCTCCCTCATGGTCAATCAGGACAGAGAGCCTTCTGACCGTGCTGCTCGGAACTTCTGCTTTGGGTTAAAGCACATCCTCAAGAACGAGATGCACAACCCCTACACAGTTCGGGTGTCCGAAGATTCTCCCTACGAGGTTCGCGTGGGTGGGGAGTTAGCTCTGACAGTCAAAGCTTGTGACATGTACATCGACAAACACTGGGAGGACAATTGGGAAAAGTGGGCCGACTTGCAGAACCACCCGAAACTCGCGGAATTGAGTGCTAAATGCGACTCTCTGCTACAAAGGGCAGCTGCAGGAACAAAAGGTGGAACCAAAGGAGCTTCCAAAGGGAAATCGTCCAAATAGGATGCCTGGTGGGCATCAGAGTCTACGAGCACTGGACCTGATGCCGTAACGCCAGAGCCAACTACATCCATAGTGTCCTCTCTACCCCTTATCGAGTCCACCCAGTACTTCGGGTACGACCAATGTTGTCCTGGGGATGTCACGGACGTGGGCAAAGTTACCACTGCCAGGAGTTGTCCGGCAACCGTATATCCTACAGCACATGTCTATCCGATTCCAACGACTTATTGTGCCCTCGTCGGCTTCGACACCATCAACATCCACTCCATAGCACGCGAACGCGATGACAGTAGAGCGGCTTATCGGAACACCGGTGGACATGTATTGCTTAGCATTGCTGGGCCAATGACGTACCCCATCGGCCACGACGCCGTCTCCAAAGGATCATCCGAGGTTTCATCACGCCCTTTTGCTGGGAACTGTCACGCTACTACATTGGCATCTTCGGCATCTTCGACAATGTCCTCCCTCCCCCCGGACTTCGGCATCTTCGACAATGCCCTCCCTCCCCCCGGACTTCGGCATCTTCGGACTATACATCTTCGACCCTTGCATCTACCCACGGACTTCGGCATCTCACCTCTACCTCTGGCTCAGCACTCCGACCTCGAGCTTCGAGCAATCGACTTTCCACCTCCATATCTATCGACCTCCAGCGTCCAGCAGCTCGGCACTCCGACCTCCACCCTCCAGCAGCATGTGACTTTCCACCTCCACCTCCACCTGTCCGACCTCCAGCGTCCAGCAGCGCATCGCTCCGACCTCCACCCTCCAGCAGCATATGACTTTCCACCTCCACCCCCACCTCCACCCATCGACCTCCAGCGTTCAGCAGCTCGGCACTCCGACCTCCACCCTCCAGCAGCATGTGACTTTCCGCCTCCACCTCCACCCATCGACCTCCAGCGTCCAGCAACTCAGCACTTCGACCTACACTCTCCAGTAGTATCCGACTTTCCACCTCCACCTCCACCCATCGACCTCCAGCGTCCAGCAGCGAAGCACTCCGACCTCCACCCTCCAGCAGCATATGACGTTCCACCTGCACCTCCACCACCAGCTCAACGTCCACATCAGAGCTTTGGGGGAGGCCGCGGAGCACTCAGGCACGTGAGTGGCGACGTTCCGGTAGGCATCTCAACACATTGGCCCCAGTGTAACGACCAAGGAGAGCAACGAAGCATCAACAATTAGCCAGCAGACACGTGCAGCGCACACTTAGAGACCGGTACAGCCCCACTAAACCTCACGAGCCACAGTGATAACACGTTCACAATCATACATAAAAACGCCAGGAGCCTGACAACAGACGACAGCATCGATGCGCTCTTGCACGAACTTGCCAACATACATTGGGACGCAGTTGCCATCAACGAGACGTGGAGGACAGTGAAGGAAGAAATGTGGATTACCACAGATGGCAATCATGTGTTCGCAGCTGCCGGACACCAAACGAGTACACGAGGAGTTGCAGTTTTGATTCATAACCGCCACGCTCACTACATCACGCGTTTTACGCTAATCAACGAGAGGATTGTTTACATCGATTTAGACTTACCCGAAATCCCCTGCGAATTATAACGTCGTGCTTCCCACATGGAGGAGACAGCGACAATCACGTACAGCACGTGTACGGCATACTCAGTACAGTGCACAAAGACGCAGCAAGAGGGAAGGCTGACAATACTGACTGGCGACTTCAATGTGCAGGTTTGGATTCAGGAGAACAATGACGACCATACATGTGACGACGGTGATCGCGACACATTTTGCATTATAATTGGGAAGTTCGGGATGGGCAAATGCAACACCAGGGGGGTTTGGTTACGAGCTTTGGCAGTCAAGGAGAAGCTGGTGATCGCGAACACGCTGTTTTACAAGCGACCACATCACGTTTCCAAATATAGTAGCAACGGTTCGGACAAGATACGCTCACATATCGACTACATCTTGATCGACCGGGCGTGCCGCAACATTGTCTTAGACGCTCTTGCGTCCGCGTGCCCGGACCTGGGACCCGACCATCAAGCTGTTCATGTACGACTCGATTTGTCTACCATTGGGAGAAGGCGACGACCAAGACGTAAGAAAGCACGACCAACAACAGCCGGGCGACCACCAACAAACGACCCAGCTTTCCGGCACCATCTCGAAGAGGCATTGCAGAAGCATTCACACGCGTCGACAATCAGCGAAAGGTGCGCAGGCACGGAACCAGCACTGAAGACTGCAACAAAAGCTTACGAGACCCAAGCCGCCCAACCCAACGACTCCCACCGAGCGACCGACCAAGAGCAAACCAAAAAGCTACGCGACCTCATCGCACAACGGAGCAAAACACCACACGAGGACACTGCGACCCGCAAAGCTATCAGCAAGAAGATCTTCAAGGAATTGCGGTCTTAAAACGGGCTCGACGGCAAGACACAATCAGGGACATCATCGTCAATTTCGCAGGCCTTAGGAAGATAGCAGGGATCAAAGCAACGAAGCACAAAGGCATGATAGCATCAATGATAGGGCAAGATGGCAACGACGAGACCGACCGACAAAGCCTTGCTGATATTTTGCAACGTTCTACGAACAACTTTACCGACAAACTGACTCCAACAACGGACGTTCGACGCACGGCTGCCGCCCCCCTGTCCCTTGCCGCGAAGACCTGGAGGCCGAAGTGAGGCCGAACTAAATACCACCGAGCTCAAAAACGGAAAATGCAAAGACACAGCGGGAATCACTGCAGAAATGTTGAAAGCAGGCGGGCCGCGCATAAAACAGCACCTACAATGCTTGTTCAACGACATCATTCACCCAGAACAGTTACCGCCAGAACAGTGGAGGCGCACCACCATCACTGTGATTTTCAAATCAGGAGACGCAAAACTACCACAAAACTACAGACCAATTGCACTTATCCCTCTCCTGTACAAGCTTATGTCTCGACTCCTGTACAACCGACTGGGTCCACTGTTAGACAAGCAGCAAAGTGTAGACCAAGCAGGCTTCAGACACGGCTACAGCACCGACGACCACTTATTCACGACGGCCCTCCTGCACAACCAGTCAGAAGAATGGCAACTACCACGCTTAGTAGCAGCGGTTGACTTTAAGAAAGCATTCGACTGTGTCAACCACAACGCACTACGGGACTCACTCAGAGAGCAGCAGGTGCCGGCATCCTACATTACCTCCTCAAACAGTTCTACACCGACCAGACCGCTACAGTACGGACGGACAGCACGAGCAGACAGTTCAACATCCCTCGAGGATTGAAACAAGGAGACCCACTGAGCTCTCTACTTTTCAACGCACTATTTAAAAACATCTTCCGACGCATGAAGGACACATGGCGCAACAAACAGTTTGGGGCATACAGATGGGTTTCACCGCAAACACCCTCCTCGCCAACCTCCGTTTTGCAGACGACGTTTGAAACAGTGATAATACACCATACTACATGATAATAGTGATACTAGTGATAATAGTAGGAATGAAAATAATAACAGCAAAAATAAAGATCAAACACATGATAGTAAGTCTAATAATAAGAAACATAAACAGAATACGGTAGGAGGAGGAGGAGGAAGGCAGGAGGAGGAGGAGGAGGAGGAAGAGGAGCAGCGGCGCGCAGGCTCCGACTCGAGCGGAACCTGTGGCGGACACGCTCCAGTCCAAGCTTTGGGATGGCGAACCCCACCTCCCCGAGCCCCCAGTCCTCGTCCGCCTGGTTGTATTTCCAGAACTGCTCGCATGGGTCCTCCCAGTCCTCTGCCTGGGCGTAGCTGCACAACCTGAGCTCCGCGTACTGGGGGTAGGCACAACCGCCGTAAGTCACCTGTCGTGTAGAAGGTCTGCGTCTCTTCCTCGATGGAGATCTGGTCCCAGCTCTCGCTCTTGCACGCCCTCCAAGGGAATGCACATCCTTGGCCACGAGCGCTGTCGTGGAAGCAGCCGCCGCACTCTACGATACACTCCTGGTACCTGGCCAGGGGGAGGAGGGAGGAGAGAGGAGGGAGGAGGGAGGAGGGAAGAGGAGGAGGCGGCATAGGAGAAGGGGGATAAGGAGGAGAAGGAGGAGGAGGAGGAGGAGGAGGAGGAGGAGGAGGAGGAGGAGGAGGAGGAGTAGAGGGAGTAGAGAGCGGGGGAGGAGGAGGAGCATGAGGAAGGGGGAGGAACAGGCGGATGAGGAAGAGGAAGCTCCCTGCCACTAACGCCCTAAAGGGCTGATGGGCTTTTTCAGCAATCTTCTTCACTGCGCTTAGTTATCCGCAGCTATCCATCGCATGTCCTTGCATACGCATAGCTTGGTGCGCGCTCGGACATCGCAGATCCCAATAGGTATCTGCTATTCGAGCTTCTTGGCTTCCCTAAGCATTCCCAGACGGCGCTGGCACGAATCGTGACGTTGCCAGGGGGGCGGGGCAAGGCTGGGGCGGGTAACAGCCGTTATCGCGAAGATTGAAGCATTCCTCTTTTTTCTCTCTGTTAGTCCTCCTACCTTCTCCTCCTCCACCTCCTCTGCCTCCTCCTCCTCCTCCTCCTCCTCCTCCTCCTCCTCCTCCTCCTCCTCCTCCTCCTCCTCCTCCTCCTCCTCCTCCTCCTCCTCCTCCTCCTCCTCCTCCTCCCCCTCCTCCTCCTCCTCCTCCTCCTCCTCCTCCTCCTCCTCCTCCTCCACTTCCGTAGCCATTTTGGCTCAAGCTGGCTCTTCGTGTCTGCTCGGTACCGTTCTTGTACTTGCAGTCGGGCGCTTGGGCATGGCGGCGGTCTCGCTCTGCCAGTCTGTGGCGAGTATTGTGTGCGGCCAGCCGTCCGCAGCGCACGTCCTTGCTGTGGCGCTTGGTGCTGCAGCGGGCGGCGCATCGCGCCAAACGGCGGCGGCGATGGTGTCTGCCGCTATCCGGACATCCTGCGACGGCGTCGACGGCGTCCAGCAGGAGGTCGCAGCCAGGCTGGCCATGGTGGAGCCAGCCCTCACGGAGCTGGTTAAGGCGGGACCCACAGGGGAGGCCGAGATCAGCGGGGACATGAAGGCCATGCGCAACGCCGGCCTACACGTAGACATGGGCTGCGGCGCAGATGACCTCCCGCAGACGGGCCGCGAGGCCAAGCGGAGGCAGCGCGGCGGCCGCAAGGCCAAGGAGAGCCTCAAGATTGACGGGTCGCAGTGCTACAAGGGCGCCGATGCGGGCCCCGCCCCCCCCAGCGAGGACAAGGTCAAGGGCGGCGCCGGTGGGGAGGGGTGGGGGCCGCGGCCCGAGGAAGCAGACCTGTCGGAGACGGTGGACGACATGACGGATCTGGCGAGCGAGACCGTGAGCTCGTCGGAGATCGGCATGACGCTGGAGGAGCATGTCAAGTGCGCCTCCGACTGCAAGACCATAGACACTAAGGGGATGGTGTCGGTCATGAGCTACGGGGACGCGCTGGACGAAGTGGACGACACGCAGTACTTGCCGAAGCCTGTGGCGGAGCAGATTGGGGAGGAGGCGCTGGAGGACATCGACCTCGTCCCCAGCGGCACGGCCACCGAGGGGAAAGTGCTGGTCGCCGACATCAGCAACGGAGACACCGAGGGCGAGGATGACCTGGGCCTTCGCAAAGCCAAGCACGAGTGGGAGCTGCAGAGGGCGTCGGTCTTCGCTGGCGTCTCGAACGAGGAGCTGTACGAGAAGTTCCTCGACTGGAGGGACCAGCACAAGTCCATCAAGATGGAAGAGCTGGTCAAAAGCGGCCTCGCACTCGCGGAGTTCTCTCGGAAGCTCAAGGAGTGGGAGGACAACTTCAAGGTGGAGGTCTGGGGTGCCACGTGAGTCCTCGGCCAGCGCGAGGGGCGCGGTCGCGGGCTGCGAAGTCGTGGACCCCTTTGCCCCTGGGCTGGGCTGCGCGTGGTGCGAAGATAACTGCGCGTCCCCTGGGGGCTGTTCCTGGGCGCCGTTGGGCGCAGTGCAAGCACTATTTGATGGCGCGGAGGCTCGTGCCCTCCTGCGGCCCGCCAGTAGTGCAGAGGGGAAGGGACATTGGTCCCCAGTGGCGATCTCCTGGCGATCTCCTCCTCCTCCACTTTCTCCCTCGTCCCTCCTTTATTTCTTTTCCTCATCCTCCTCCACCCCTCCTACTCGTTTTCCTCCTTCTCGGCCTTCTCCTGCTCGTCCTCCTTCTCGTCCTCGTTCCTCATCGTCCCTCCTCTTTCTCTCCCTCGGCGTCCCTGCAGGGCATCCCGGGGCGGTGGTGCCGTGCCGCCACCGTTGCATCGGAGCCATTCGGAAGGGCCAAGACTCCTTTGCAAAGTGGGGGCGCAGGCGGAGTTCCCAGGAGAAGGGGGATGCTGTCTTCCCTGCCTTCGTCCTCCCCTCCCACCCGCGAGGCCAGGCACGCCCTCGCCTCCTGCCTGCCCTCCTCTCTCTCCCGTCCCGAGGCCCCCCCTGCCCTTGCTCCGGGGGCCCTCCTGCGGCCTGATGGTGGCCCGGGCCTCCGGCCTCCCTCCCCGCCACCCCCTCCCGAGGGCCCCCTGCTCTCCTCCCGAGTCCTGACGTGGCCTGGGCATCCTGCCTTGCTCCCCTGCGCCCCTCTCCGAAGGTACCCCCAGTCCTTCCTTCCCTTCCGAGGCCTGACGTTCGACCACGCGCAGGAGTGATCCTTCGCCGGAGTGATCTGTGGTGCGGGCACACTGGGGTCCCCCGATCGCCGAAGGCGAAGCGGGTAGCAGCTTCTCGCGCGCTTGTGTTTGGTCTCCCCGCGGCCCCCCAAAAGCCGCGCACCAGGGTCACTCTTGCCCAGGGTCGCTCTTGCGCGCAGCCGAGATTCGACCCGGGCATCCTGCCTTCCTCTCCTTCTCCTCCTCCTCCTCCTCCTCCTCCTCCTCCTCCTCGTCCTCCTCCTCCCCCCCTGAAGGCTCCCTGCCTCAGCTGCCCTGACACGCACGTGTGAAAAGCGCAGCGCGTGCCGTGTTCAGCACGCCTGTCACGCACGCGTTGGCCCACGTCTCGGCGAACGCACGACGCAAGACCTGCGCTTCCAGTCTACGTGTTGGGCTCCGTGCCAACACGCCACGCGTTGGCGTGTTGGGTATCGGGGCAGCCAGGCCGGCCCCCTGCCCTTCCTACCCCCGCCGGGTGGCCCGGGAGGGCGAGGAGGGCGAGGAGGGCGGGATGCAGAGGCAGAGGCAGGGCGATGAGGAGCGCGAGAAGGACGAGGAGGTTGCCGTCGTCGTGGTCGTGGTCGCCGGCGTCGGGGTCGTGGTAGTGGAAGTCGTCGTCGCGGTCGTGGTCAGCCGTCGAGGCGGCGGCGGCGGGCTCCCTCCCCGCCGAGGCCTGACGTGGGCCAGCATCCTGGGCCCTCTGGTGCCCGCGCTGCTGGACACGATGCGGCCGCGGCTCCTCGGGAGCCCAGCCCCCTCGACGGCGTCGTCGGCGTCGGCGTCGTCGTCGTCGTCGTCGTCGCCGTCGTCGTCGTCGGCGTCGCCGTCGGCGTCGTCGTCGCCGTCGTCGTCGTCGTCGTCGTCGTCGTCGTCGTCGTCGTCGCCTTCGTCGTCGTCGTCTCCTCGTCGTCGTCGTCGTTGTCGTCGTCGTCGCCTGCGTCGACGTCGGCATCATCGTCGCCGTCGTCGTCGTCGTCGTCGGCGTCGGCGTCGGCGTCGGCGTCGGCGTCGGCGTCGGCGTCGTCGTCGTCGGCGTTGGCATCGGCGTCGGCGTCGGCGTCGGCGTCTGTGTCTGCGTCGGCGTCGGCGTCGGCGCCGGCGTCGGCGTCGTCGTCGTCGTCGTTGGTTGTCGTTGGCGTCGGCGTCGTCGTCGTCGTTGGTGGTTGTTGTTTGTGTCGTCGTCGTTGTCGTTGTTGGTTGTCGTCGTCGTCGCCGTTGTCGTCGTCGTCACGTCGTCGTCGTCGTCGTCGTCGTCGTCGTCGTCGTCGTCGTCGTCGTCTCTGTTGGTTGTCGTCGGCGTCGGCGTCGGCGCCGTCGTCGCCGTCGTCGTCGCCGTCGTCGTCGGCGTCGGCGTCGGCGTCGGCGTTGGCGTCGGCGTCGGCGTCGGCTTCGTTGTCGGCGTCGGCGTCGGCATCGTCGTCGGCGTCGGTGTCGGCTTCGGCGTCGGCGTCGGTGTCGGCGTCGGCCCTGGCGTCGGCGGTGTCGTCGTCGTCGTCGTCGTCGTCGTCGTCGTCGTTGTTGGTT